CACATTTTCCATACGTTTCCGTTAAGAGTCACAGTTTTCATACTTTTCCTTTAAAGAGTCACAGTTTCCATACTTTTCCCGTTAAGAGTCACAGTTTCCATACGTTTCCGTTAAGAGTGACAGTTTCCATACATTTCCGTTAAGAGACACAGTTTCCATACGTTTCCGTTAAGAGTCACAGTTTCCATACGTTTCCGTTAAGAGTGAAAAGTTCCATACTTTTCCCGTTAAGAGACACAGTTTCCATACGTTTCCTTTAAAGCGTACAGTTTCCATACGTTTCCGTTAAGAGTCACAGTTTCCATACTTTTCCGTTAAGAGTCACAGTTTCCATACGTTTCCGTTAAGGTCACAGTTCCATACGTTTCCTTTAAGAGTCACAGTTTCCATACGTTTCCGTTAAGCGTCACAGTTTCCATACGTTTCCGTTAAGAGTCACAGTTTCTCAATTAAATGCTTATTAGGGGATAGGTAATGAGGCCAGATACTCAGAAGCGTATCGCGCTCTTTATGTACAGAAATTTTAGATACAGGTTGCTGCCCTATTGGGCCCTGTTAAAAAGGAGTGCACTATATGGGGAAAAGGGTGCCATTTGATTAGCTACTCAAAAAACAAAAGGTTATTCAAGAAAAAATTGCACATTAAAAAAACACTTAAACTATAAAATGTAAAAAAAATTGTGTTGGTGTGTGTGTGGGGTGTCGTGTGTGGTGTGTGGGTGTGGTGTGTGGTGTGTGTGTGTTTTTGGGGGTGGTGTGTGTGTGTGGGTGTGTGTGTGGGTGTTGTGTGGTGTTGGTGTGGGGGGTCGTGGGGGTTTGGGGTGTGTGTGTTGTGTGTGGGGTGTTGTGTGTGTGGGGTGTGTGTGTGTGTGTGGTGTGTGTGTGGGGTGTGTTGTGTGGGTGTGTGTCTGTGTGTGTGGGGTTGTGTGTGTGGTGTGTGTGTGTGTGTGTGTGGGTGTTTGGTGTGGTGTTGTGTGTGTTGTTGTGTTGGTGTGTGTGTTGTGTGTGGGTATGTGGGGTCTGTGTGTGTGTGTGTGTGTCTGTGTGTGTGTGTGTCTGTGTGTGTGTCTGTGTGTGTGTGTGTGTGTGTGGTGTGTGTGTCTGTGTGTGTGTGTGTGTGTGTGTGTGTGTGTGTGTGTGTGTGTCTGTGTGTGTGGGGACAGGTTAATCAAAGGCTGGTTGGGGAAACACAGTGTTTGACATGGGCCCAAAGGTATGAAAAATTAGGTGGATATACGGTGCAGTGATATGTGATCCCTCAGGAGTTAGAAACGAGTGTTAAGGCAAAGACTGCGTCCCCAAATGGCACCCTGTTCCCCATGGGTCCTGGTCAAAAGTTGCACTGTATAGGGAATAGGGTGCCATTTGGGATGCAGGCCTGCTCTGTCTGCTCTGCGTTCTGTTTGCCACAGTCAGTTAGGCCGGAATTTTTGCTCCAGGACTTGATTAGCACACAGCTTTTAACATCAGAGGCTACTGCCAAAACATCACGCTACGTCGTAGGAAAAACACAGTTGACAGGGAGGGAGAGGAGAGGAGAGGAGAGGAGAGGGGGAGAAAAAAGAGGCAGAGGGAGGGGAGAGGAGAGGAGAGGAGGAGAGGAGAGGGAGGAGAGAGAGGAGAGGGAGGGGGAGGAGAGGAGGGGAGAGGAAGAGGGGAGCGAGAGGGGACGACGGAGAGAGGACCGGGAGGTGGAGAGGAGAGGAGAGGAGAGGAGAGGGGAGAGAAGGGAGAGGAGAGGGGGATTGGGGAGAGGAGGGGGTGGAGAGGCAGAGGAGAGGTGGAGGAAGAAGGAGAGGAGAGAGAGAGCTGAGCAGTGACATAGGAGTGAAGCCACAACAGGGCATACTGTGCGGTGAATTAAGTTCTTGACCTCTGTGACACTCCTCAGGAATCTTTTCATGACATTGGTCACAAGCATTTTTAATTTTGCTGACTGCAGTAATTGCAGGGTGGGGCCAGTCTGTCGGGGGTGTCGGCTCCCCCTCTCCATCTTAGGGTTTACTTTCAATGACCGGGGATTTAATACCTTCTATCTCTTCTCTCTCTCTGTTCTCTCTCTTCTTTGGGGGCCCGTTGGGAATTAACCTTTTCTCCCCCACTACCCCTCTCTATCCTCCTCCGATCTTCTCCTCCTCTTTCTCTCTTTTCTCTCTTTTCTCTCTCTCTCTCTCTCTCTCCTCTTCTCTCGCTCTCTCTCTCTCTCGTCTCTCTGGCATCTTTTCACCCCTTTCCAAATATCTCCCAAATAAATAAATATTCTATTTATAACCCAAAAACTAATGAAATTGTTTATTGCTCAGGTTTTTGATAGTAAGTTCAGCAGTAAAGCCAAGCAGTGTTCATCAGAATAGAGCACAGAAAGAGGGGAGTGTTATCACAAACGACCGCTTTGTACCACGCGAAAAATGAGCTTTTCTTCCAGGGCCCCAGGGAGGAGGCCATTGACCTTTCTAATTCCCCCCCCCCCCAAACAGCAGCACCTAGGTGGGGTGGGAAAGAGGGTTGGATGGACAGACCACAAGGGAAACCCCTTCATGGATCCTTTACTCTTACCACACACACACACACACACACCACACACAAACACACACACACACACACACCACACACACACACACACACACACACACACACACAGACACACCACACACACACACACACACACCACAGACACACACACACACACACACACACACACCTACACACCACACAGAACACACACAGACACACACAACACACACACACACACCAGACACACACACACACACCACACACACACACACACACACGGAACACACACACACACACCAGACACACACACACATTACACACACACACACACACAGACCACAACACACACACACAGACAACCACACACACACACACACCACACAGACACACCACACACACACACACACACACACACACACACACAGGACCCACCGCACACACACACACACACACACACACACACACAGACACACACACACACACACACAACACCACACACAGAACACACACACACAGACAACACACACATAGACACACACACACAACACACACACACACCAACACACAAACACACACCACACAGACACACACACACAGACCACACACACACACACACACACACACACACAGACACACACACCAACACACAACACACACACAGACACAACACACACACCACACACAGACACAAAACCCACACACACACACACACACACACACACACACACACAGACACAGACACACACACACACACAACACACACACACCACAGACAGACACACTAACACAGAACATACATAATGAACACTCTCCCGACTCCCCTAATTCGTAAACACAGTATTTTCCCACCACGTTTCAATTAAGAAGGAAAAACATTTATACATGAAAACATGTGTTGTTTTATACAGCTTTGCCCTATCTAAATTGTCATCTATTAAAGTGTGCCTGTTCTCTCAGAGCGTTTTCCAATGGTTAGCTGAGAATCAGTCATCTATTAACCTCTTAAGGATCGGACCCTTGTTTTCAATTTTTGCCTAAAATGACATACCCAGATCTAACTGCCTGTGGCTCAGGACCTGAAGCAAGGACATGCATATTCTTGATACCATTTGAAAGGAAACACTTTGAAGTTTGTGGAAATGTGAAATGAATGTAGGAGAATATAACACATTAGATCTGGTAAAAGATAATACAAACAAAAAAACATGATTTTTCTAGTTGTTGTTTTTCCAATCATCTTTGAAATGGAAGAGAAAGGCCACAATATAATATTGCATTATAGGCGCAGTGTAGATTTTGGCCACTAGATGGCAGCAGTGTGTGTGCAAAGTTTCAGATTGATCCAGTGAAGCATTGCAATACTGGACTATTTTGTATCAAATCTTGGTTAAATCTTGGTTACATTTTAGCAGACGCTCTTATCCAGAGCGATTTGCAGTTAGTGAGTGTATACATTATTTTTTTTATTTTTTCATACTGGCCCCCCGTGGGAATCGAACCCACAACCCTGGCGTTGCAAACGCCATGCTCTACCAACTGAGCTACATCCCTGCCAGCCATTCCCTCCCCTACCCTGGACGACGCTGGGCCGGTCGCGGCCGGCTACGACAGAGCCTGGATTCGAACCAGGATGTGCCGAATTGGTCAAATGATACATTTTCAAGTACATAACTATAGAGAACATGATATGGTAATACAA